TGTGTCAGCAGGCAATGTGTAGTAGTATGTAGTTTGAATTGTTCATCATAATTTCTTTGCAACAGTTTGTTTTTATTTTTCTATTATTTTATGAATAATTTTGGACCACATGGACATCATATCTTATTGCATTCAGGTCTTGATCAAAATTTAGAAAAACAATCTGAAACAAATTATGTGTGTTAAATTTTGTGAAAAGGTAATACACATGTAATTGATTCTTATGACATAAAAATGATTTCCAATAAACATCATGTTTCTGTTGATTGTGTACATTAAAGTGCAAACTTTTTCATTGGTAATATATTAGTACTGATTTTTTGAGGATTATTCAATCAATTTTTTGGAATAGTTGAAAATTGAAAAATTGATTTTTCTTATTAGGTCATCACAACAATACTGTGAAGTATGCTCAAAGGCAGTACGGCAATTGTATGTGTCGATCAATGCAACTCGTACTGCCTGAGTGTATACTTTGCGGTATTCTTGTGATAACCTTATTATTATACATTTTTTTAATGCTCGAGATAATTATTTATTGAGAGATTACAGAACGAAATGACAATGATAAACATTTTGCGTTTTGGTAACGTTTGTGAGTGATGGGCTTTTATTTCTATTGCAAGCTATAGCCATTTTGTGTCCACTGTAAACAAAGGAATGTGTTTGAATGAATGTCAATAACCTGGAACATGTCAATATGGATGATGTAGTTTACCTCATATAAGGAAAAATTTGAGCATTTCAAATGAGTGCTGATACGTTTTAGAATGTGATATGGCTTTTTATGGAATGAAAATTGTATTGTTTTCGGTGTTAGATGTATAAGAGTGTATTATATTGTACTGATTCAAAATCACTACCATTGATATTTTTACAGGGCACTGGTTTATTTGCATTGCTTCCCAAACCAAAGCATGCAGTTACAAAAGAACATAACAGAATTCTAATTCCGCATACACTTAGTCGAAGACCTGAGAAGAAACCAGTCTCTAGGAAACCTCAAACAGTATCTTTGAAAAAGACAACATCAAATCTTATTCAAGCTTATGATGACGATGATGATGATGATGAACCATCCAGTTTCTTTTCATTTCATGAAAAGACCACTGAAAGGGAAACACAGAATATTCAAACTGAAATAAAAACATCTGCTGCAGATGACAATGACCTGAAGGATACATTGAGTAGGACTACTGGGATGGAAAGCTCTCAATCAAGTTTACAAACAACACTCATTACACCCCAGGAAAAGCCACTGAGTTTTAATGTGTCAAGCTCTGATGATACTCCATTATGTTTTAACCCAGCGACGCCTGCTGATGGTTCTCTTGATTTCCAACATCAGACAGTTTCATCTACTGCTAGCATAGATAAGACAGCTAGTAGTCAATCCATGACGTATAATGTACCTTATGAGTACAATGTTCCCTATCAAGAATACACTAATCAAGATTACTACCAAGTAAGACTAAGACACTTGTTTTGCATTTACCTACATTTTGATGGTTCAGTCACCAGCAGGTCTGTCCCGGAAACTATTGTTCGCGTGGTTTGCCCCACATGCAGACATTATTGGCGGGAAAGTCAGTGTAATTTGCATAAATAGAGGTATATTGTGATTATTCATTCCATGTAGCTGGCTTGCTTCCATTCTGACTATAAGAGATGATAATACAAAAAACTTTAATTATTCAAACTATATATTGAAGACAAACAGTATGTGAATGTGCATGGATAAAAAGACTTGACTAAGTTATTCTCTGTCTATTAACCATCTGTTCTGTCTAGTACTCTGAGAATGCCGAACAACATGTCATATATAATAATGAACAGGGCCAGACATCAGAACAAAACTATGCTAGTGATGAAGGGGTAAGTGTTTTTTTTTTAATTTTTTTCATAGCACCTTGACTTTTAAGCAGTTAATATGGGTACTGACCATTGTGAAACCTGTATCAGCTGAACACCAACAGAGTAAAAAAAGAGTGTTCAGTTTATATAGAGTAGTTAATATATTTCACATTCTGGAAAAAGTGTTTGGCTTGGACAGGTTTGACTGCACAATACCAAATTATGGTACTGCACATATACCGGGTATGTGAATTCTATATTTGTGATTGTAAACATGTAACCTTGTTACCTTCTTATTATTAAATGGTTGTTGATCTTCTCCATACTAATCTTGAAATGTTGCCTCGATTTTGCTCATTAACCATGTGAACGTAATCCAATGTCACAAGGGGTAGTAACGCTTTCATCTCTGTCAACGATCAGTTGATACAGCGCGCACAGAGAACATACAACTGTCATCCATTGGTCAATACATTAGCATATTCAGATTAACAGCATGCTATGTTTATCAACCAGTCAATGTTTCATTCACCCACTGACCATACAGGCAAAATTAAGCAATGTTTGCAGATTAGATTATGGAGAGGGCAGATGGACCCCCAAAACAATAAGAAGGCTAACAGTCTAGTAAACATCTGTTTACTATAAAACTGTCATTTCAGTTTTTTTGAGTTCTGTGAGTGTTCACCAGTGTACATTTTTAGTCCCTGTTCGGAAGAAGTCCGAAAATGGGGACTTATAATTTGGTCTCCATCCGTCTGTGCGTCCGTAAGGAGTCATATCTCAGAATCCCTTGGACCGATTCTGTTCATTCTTTGCATGTGCCTAGTACTTTATGTGGGACATATGCACATGCAGTGGTTTAGTGATACGATTCAAAATGGCCAACTGGCAGCCATCTTGTTTTTTGAAAATGTTGTATTTTGGACATGCTTTGTCAGTTGTCATTCAAACTTGGTACATAGATTATACATGTTAGGATACATGTCCCTGACCGTCCATGAGTTCCTGAGTCTGTCCATCCGACCATGTGTCCGTCCATCCCTGGGCCTGTCCAGAGTCATATTTCAGAATCCTGTAGACCGATTCCGTTCATTCTTTGCATGTGCCTAGTACCTTATGTGGGACATATGCACATGCAGTGGTTTAGCGATACAATTCAAAATGGCCGACTGGCAGCCATCTTGTTTTTTGAAAATGTTGTATTTTGGACATGCTTTGTCAGTTGTCATTCAAACTTGGTACATAGATTATACATGTCAGGATTCATGTCCATGACGATTTATTTCTCAATTGGATCAAAGATGGTCGACTGGCAGGCATCTTGTTTTTGTTTTTTTATGCGGTATCTTGGACGTTCTGTTTTCATTCAAA